GTCCTGCATTAGTACAGTATATGTTCTCTTCAAAGTTGTTGTTTGTTTTTTTTTTTTAACTGTTCTAACCATATGCAAGGATAAAGTGAGATCCAAAAATATTCTTTCATTTCGATATTTTATTTTAACTTTTCATGCTGTGTTAAAAACCCAAAAGTACAGAATTATTTACACATTCACAATACAACTTTACAAGATATCTACACGTTAAAGTACTCTACAGAACAGGATAGAGCAACTTATTTCAATGGTTACTTTTATATGCTGGACGAATATAAAAAAGATACAATCTGATTTAACCTTTGCACAAATGGATAAAGCACTTTTATTAAATGAATTGTTTAGCCTAAATTGAATGTTAGAAACATCAACATAAATACTGATAGAACTCACATTACGATCTACAAGGCAGTACAATGTTATCCAAGTTAACAAAGTTTGTGGTTTGGCTTCTTTAGGCTCTAGTGCTCACACCACAATCTTACACATGAAAACACATCAGCATTTTCACTTAAAATAATCCCAAATGACAACGTTGACATAGATTGCATAACTGGTAGTAATTAAATTAAAATATTGCCCCAAATCTAAAAATTAGAGTTCTCAGCTTTGGCCACAAGAAATACAGTTCAACATATTTTTATATTTTTAATAGACCATTTTTATTAAAAAAAAAAGAATAGTGAAGTAGTGAATTTTATTTCCCTTCCTTGTATAAAATATAATCTAGTTAGACACAAATTTTAGATGAAGGTTTTTTTTGAGTAATACTAAAACAAATGCAACCTCTGCTTTGAAAACAGTCTACGTTATGCTCAATAAACATAAACATGGTTTAAGCACATCTTTTGAATTACAAAAAAAAAAAATCTGTGTTAAACATCAGTGACAGAGAGGTACTTGTAAACGCATTGCACCGTTCTAGTAGGTGCTGCATTAGCTTAGAAATCTTCAGAAATTAAAGAATTTGTTATTCAATGTTCTGGAGCCGGAATTTTATCATAAGTAGTGTTCCAACCACAACCTGTGTTCTAAGACGTGTCCTTCTTCCTATGTAGTTATCACAAGGCCTTAATCTAGAGTTTTCTGACACTTGAAAGATAAGGTGTGTTATACTGGACACACCTGACATACTATATTTTGTATTTTTATGAATAAGGCACAAAATGCACAGATTCAGGTACCCTCACACTCCTATTTACAGAATATAGTCATTACCTGCATGACCAAAGAAATCACTCATACATGTAATAGATGTGTTTAAATTGCACTACTTTTAAGCTTCCTATGATATTCTGGGCAGTGTGAATGATTTACGCAATTATAGTCTTTTATATAACCCAGCTGCTGCAGTTATTAAGTTTTCCCCCATAACACCTTAATTGCATCTGAAAGGCTGCACTGTTGTTTCAAGGTTCAAAATGCTTTGGTGGCCCTAATACATCTAGTAACTGAACAGAGCTAGCCCACAAAGTTAATTGCCTGGTCCTGTATTACACAAAGTGAACTGGGTGAAAGCAATAATATTTTTAGACATCAAGAGTACCAAAAACTAACCCTTGAGGAGGTTAGTAGCTGTCCTTCACTGAGGATCCCCTTTGGGAAATTGCAGCACTATATGTGTTAACTGTCACAAGGCCGGTGTTTTCTTCTTGTTGTTTGATTACTGTCCTCTGATGGACTACTCATGCACCCATGCTTTTGATGTAAAGAGGTGCAGGAAATGTTTCCAAGTGCTTTAACAGTATAGTTATGCAGATGTTGATAAGTAGGGCAGATGGTGTCATTAGCACAATGCTTCAGATCTGCAGTACACACAAACCCTGTGCACTGACATAGATGATGTGCACACAGTGGGCCAGACTGCATTATTTTAAAATCTACCCATGTAAATTTTTCAGATTTTACAGGCACTTTGTCATATGTTTGACAATTTTAGTTAAACCTTAATTTTTATGGGTCTGTTTTAAATGTTTCCTTTCAAGGCCCCAGAAATTGAAATTGCCCTTAAACAAAATGAAGGTTGATGTACAAGAAATAGCTACAGGAAACATTCCAAGACATACATAAGTGTATTAGAAATACAAACAGATAAGAAGGGGTGGAGTATATACTTCAGGCACATTTTCAGGCTTATTCACTAAAGCAGTGCAAAGAGCACTGATAATGTGCAAAGTGCAGCAATCTTAAGCAATCAATTAGATTTTACTTTACTGTGGTCAGACTGGATAAGAAATCATTTAGATTGCTTTGGGTTACTGCGTTTTGCTCTTTGTCTTATTAAATAAACCTATTTATGTTAATGTTTCTAATAGACTGTACACTTGGGTAGACAGCAAACATAAAACGGTCAGCTCTTGCATATATATTTGTGGTTCTTACCAGGTGATGTCTTATGAACTTATGTTTTTTAGGGCATGTTGGCAGCCATGTAAGAAACCATCCAGTCCTTCACATGGGATGGATGAGCTCCCCACTTCTATTGAGTTTTATTAAACCCACAGAACAGCAGCGCTCATGTGCACATGTACACTTGGTTGTTCTGCTGAACACAGTGCAAACCATACAAAAACATGTCCTATTTAGATGCTTTGCACTCCACTTGGCAAAAAAGACTGAATGCAGACAAAGCCCTGTAGGACTGGAAGGATTCTTAAAAGAAAGGCTGTCCTACATGAGCCATAAAGTTTGGTGGCCACATCAATTTTAACAGGGAGAAATATGAACGTATCCATGATTAAAATCACCATTTTAAAAACATATACCATCTGTAGGATTAATATTTTTACAACTTGTACCCTTTTAAAACAGCTTGTTACTTACAAACAAACAACTTTTTTTTAACTATCAAAAAAAAGCAAGCACTACTTTAAAAGAACTATTAGTGCAGGTCACTTCTTAAAACATTAGTGAAACTGAATTAGGATTTACAATTAAAATCAATGTTACCTCCCAAATTGTAAAATAAAAGGGGCGCATTTGTCCAGTAGTCCAATGGATAGAGGGACTATACATCCCTCTGGAAGCTGAATTATGATAATCTTGCTAAAACCAATATATCTTCAATATCAGTATCAGAATAAATGCACTTTTGTAATAAATAGAATGAATATATTTAGAGATATTTAGACATTGTGTAGTAAATACACAAGCTCCATCAAAGGTCTCCAAGAGTTTAAAGCCACTTCAAATCCAGCCCAGGATAAATACTAATTATGTTATCCTCATAGTGATCTGTCTTTTTGTGCTATATTATGGGTTTTGTTTTTGTTTTGAGTCAATGTGTGGCTTTAAACCAAATGTAAGTGCAAATTATTTTGCTAGGTCCC